CCTGCCTCTCACTCTAATCGTCTTTCTACCCCCACCATTGCCATCAGCGGTCCATTCTAGATGTCGATGCCCGAAAATGACGTGTTACGGGAAATAAATACATAATTAAAAAAATAATTGTTTCACCAAAACAGTAATATTTGTTAATTTTATTTAAGTACACTATTTAAAATGTTGAAATAAACTTACTGCGACAGTATTGAACAAATTTTATTTAAAATTTTATTATTGTAAAAATTTTTTTTGAATCTTATGACGCATTTTTGGTCATTTTCCCGTATTATGTGCACAGGACACGCGCTAAAATCGTACGTATGTGTCATTATTGATCTGTCTAGAATTTTGGAGCAAATATTAAAAATGGATAATAAGTTGTTGATGTTACAAGAAGCTATTAAAATTTTAATGTGAGAACTCCAATGTTACCTTATCGGAAGAAGAACGAGATCAACATTAACCAAACTAATTTATATTGTATAAAACAATGTCGAAGAAAAAAGTTCAAAGAAGTGTATGGGTTAGACCAATTTATACTGTGGAACAACGGCTTCTTCAAGAAGACAGTGACAATTTAGTTACAATGTTAATAACAGACCCATCGTTGTATTTTAATTATTTCAGAATGCAAGTGGATATTTTTGATAAACTGTTTACCTTAGTGGGTCCTAAAATTGTAAAAGAATGTAATATAAGGAAATCAATTCTCTCTCGGACACGGCTTGAAATTTGTATTAGATATTTAGCCAGTAGTGATAGCATTAAGTCTATAGGATATGCCTTTAGAGTTGCTCCAAACACAGTTTCTAAAATTGTGCATGAAACTTGTAATGAAATTTGGAAAACATTAAAAAATATAGTTATGCCTGTAGCAAGTACACAAGAATGGAAAACGATAGGGCAAAATTTTGAAAGACTGTGGAATTTTCCTCATAGTATTGGAGCGATCGATGGAAGACACATGGTTATAGAAGTAATAATTTTAACTCTTTTTTTTTTAAGGCATATTGGTACAAATATGTTATAAATGCTTCATTACATTTCAGGCTCCTCCGCATAGTGGTTCCATTTATTTCAATTATAAAAAAATCTCAGTATCAATTTCATCGGTGTTTCTGATGCACATTATCGTTTCATTTTGATTGATATTGCAGCAGAAGGTCGTCGCAGCGATGGTGGAGTGTTTGCTGATAGCAATCGGGATTACATTCAAACACTTTAAATGTACCTTCCCCTGCTCCAGTTGGTGAAAGGGAGCTACCATATGTTTTGGTTGGCGACGAAGCGTATCCTTTAGCATCGTACTTGATGCGACCTTATCCAAGAAGATCAGATCTTGACTTAAGAAAATAGGTGTACAATTATCGTCTCAGCAGAGCAAGACGTATCATTGAAAATGCCTTTGGTATTTTGGTAGCGAGGTGGAGAATTTTTCGTAGGCCTATAAATACTTCCATTTCTAGAGCAAAGAAGATTGTATTAGCTACAATATGTTTACATAATTTTATTATTACTAACGAAATGGTAAAACGTCCCCAAGAAAGACAATATTTATGTTATAATGATTATGACAAACAGCAAATATCATGCTTAACAACATTGCCTAATAGTATTAGCCGTCGTCTAACTTCAAGTAATTTGCCGATGATTTACAGGGAAAGATTCGCTGATTATTTTTTCAATGAAGGTGCAGTAGAATGGCAATGGGAGAAAACTGAAAATAATGACTTTTAGTTTTTATTTTTTTGTATTGTAATAAAGTTTTTTATTATTATAATAAATTATGAAATTAACATGTTAAATTTCTTTTTCATACACATCGTTTCTGTTGTATTTTACAATAATTATTACAAATATAAACAAAAAGCAGATTACGCATAAAACAAATAAATCTAATTCCATCAATGTAGATTAACTTCGATCTCGGTTCAACTTGCTCTTCATCTTTTTCTAGTTCTAAAGGGAATTGGTTCCCTTATATTACATTCTTTTTCAATTTTAGGACCCACTAACGCAAACAGTTTAACAAAAATATCCATTTGCATCCTGAAATAATTAAAATACAACGATGGGTCTGTTATTAACATTATAACTAAACTGTCACTCCTTAAATAAGAAGCTGTTGTTCCACAGTATAAATTGGTCTAACCCATATACTTCTTTGAACTTTTTTCTTCGACATTGTTTTATACAATATAAATTAGTTTGGTTTGATCTCACGTTTGCAACACATTGTAGAATGCCTTTATAAATTAAAAAAAAGATGATGAACAAGTTAAACTGAGATTTAGTTAATCTAGTTGGTGGAATTGGATATTAATTATTTAAGAGACTTGCTTTTTCTTCAGCTTCTAACGCATCATTCATGATTTTCATTTGTAATAATCTACAATCCTTGTAGGGTAACCTTCTTAAAATATCACCTAACTGGATCAAAAATCCTTCAATACCATCAGCAGGTGTGGTAGTATTACTTAAAATTTTCATCAAATCTGTTCTGCATCACCTGATTGTGTTTTTCGTCCTAAAAAAAAATATTTACAATATAATATGCATAATAATATTGGGTTGTGCGGAAAGTTCGTGCGGATTTCTCAACAGATGTCGCTCGAAGGCGAATATCATTAAAGTCACTATATTTATAAAGTACCGCAATCATTCCGCCATTTTGGCTCCAACATGCGGTTCAGTCAAACATGCATATGAGTATGAATGTGTTTACACAACAGACAGATTAAATACATTACACTTAATGTGTAGATACGTTATGAAAATGAGTACTATTTACACTTTTCGACGCCATTTTGGCTTCAAATCCTTATACATTGGTCTTGTGGATTGCGGTACTTTATAAATCTAGTGACTTTAAATATCATATGTTTATGTCGATGCGATGTGTCAGATGCTTTCGTGTTTTGATTAGTGACATTTCAACGCATAATAAAGTGATATTAATTATCCCAATAAATTAAAAACTGTTTACTTGAAATCAGCTTAAAGATGGAAGGAAATAACGTGTTTTTTCGATGCATAATGCTTTTTTATTTCCGCAAAGGCAAGAACGCGACACAAACTCGAAAAAAAATATGTGCCGTATACTGGGAAGATGCCGTAAGTGATCGTATGTGCCAGAAGTGGTTTGCTAAATTCCGTTCAGGAGAAATGAATATTGAAGATGCTCCTCGCTCTGGTCGGCCAGTCACCACCGATGTCGACCAAATTACAGCTTTAATCGATTCCGATCGGCAAATCAGTTCGGGAAATCGCGGCAAGGTTAAACATTGGCAAATCAGCTGTTTCCGAACATTTAAATAAACTCCAGATTATAAAAAAGCTTGATGTTTGGGTGCCGCACGACTTAACTAAAAAAAATCGTATTGATCGTATTTCCATCAGCGATTTGCTATACAAACGCAACGAATACGATCCATTTTTGAAGCGTATCATAACAGGCGACGAAAAGTGGATAATTTATAATAATGTCGAGCGTAGAAGGTCATGGAGCAAGCGAGGTCAACCGCCATCGACCGCTTCAAAGGCAGGCTTACATCCAAAGAAGGTAATGCTCTGCATTTGGTGGAATTGGAAGGGGATAGTGTACTATGAGCTACTACCGAACAACGAAACCATCATTCGAACAAGTATTGTTCACAGTTGGATAAATTGAAGGTGGAAATCGCCAAAAAGTGTCCGGAATTGATCAATAGGAAAGGCGTCGTTTTTCATCATGACAACGCCAGACCTCATACAAGTTTACAGACTCGACAAAAATTATTGGTGTTTGGCTGGGATGTTTTGCCTCATCCACCATATTCCCCCGATATTGCACCCTCGGATTATCATTTATTTCGGTCACTACAAAATTCAATTAATGGTTTAAACTTTGCTTCTTTGAAACTCCTCAAAAACTACTTGGACAGCTTCTTCGCCGAAAAACCCCAGGACTTCTACGAGAGGGAAATTATGAAATTACCCAAAAGATGGAAAAGTATTGTGCAAAATAATGGTGCATATATTACAGAATAAAATTGAAACAACCTGACTTTGCGCGGACGTAGCTCGTCGGTCACGGGCTGCGGCCAGGGTCGCAAAGAGGTTCGGCCAGGAGGAGAGAGATGCAAGGCGGTAATAATGTAGTTAATACGGATTTCGTGATAAGATGATAGTATATTCTATTATGTATTACAGAGTGTGTGT